TCATTCTCATCATGGTGTGGCGTAAACTAATCCGGAATCCGAACACTTACTCGAGTCTGATCGGCCTCACCTGGTCTCTCGTTTCGTTCAAGTATGTAGAACTAGTACTCGCCGTGTTGAACCGTAATTCGGCTGAATCCGGATTTGATTTCGTTAGTGTTCTGTAGGTGGAATATCGAAATGCCTGCTATAGTTGCTCGTTCTATATCGATCCTCTCCGATGCAGGTCTCGGGATGGCAATGTTTAGCCTCGGTAAGTCGATTACGAACGCCGGCGAAAAAACCAATGTTCCCGGAGTTGTTCTCATGTTCATCTCTTTGTGTAGGTTTATTCATGGCACTTCAGCCAAGGATAATTGCATGTGGAAAGACCGTAGCTACCTTCTCCATGGCGGTCCGGTTCCTGACGGGGCCTGCAGTCATGGCCGCTACGAGGCGTTCTTCTCCGCATTGCGATCGTGCAGGTAATATCTGTTACGGTTACGCTTACAATTACCGTTGATCTCGAATCGGATATCTGAATTGTCTAGTTTTTAGGCAGCACTTCAACAAGGGATAGTACCGTTCGTCTTTGCCAAGGAGTACAATGTTCACCCTGATATATTAAGCACAGGGTAAGATTACAAATTGGTCTGATTATGGCTTTAGTCCCTCTACTAAGCAGAAATGAAGGATTTCATCATTGATTACATTCAGGGTCATAGTCGGGATGTTGATTGCTCTTCCTATAACACTGCTTTACTACATCCTACTGGGACTGTGAAGCTGACACAGCAAGGGAAGTGAAAAGACTAATTTAACCCCCATCATTTTGAAACATTCTTTTGTGGGACTGATTAGTGATATTATTACATAGATGTTGGATCTTTTTGACATTAGGAAATCATGCTGGGATTAGCTTTTTCATGTCTTTTTCTATGCATTTTTGTTACTTTTTGATGAAAGAAAGTGAGGCACAGCATGTCTGTAGTTCAATTCAGTACATTCTGAAAGCAGAAACAACATTTTATAATCTTGGGGTAAATTATGTTTTTAGTCCTTGTAGTGTGCTTACTTTATGGGATAAAACAAATTTTAGTCCCTAAATCGAACGGACTGTAACGTTAGGACTTAAATCGGACAGATCGATGGCTATAGTGACCATTTCTCCTTAATTTTTTTCGTTGACCACAGTTGATCATATCGAAAACATAGGAGACTATCGGCATAATTTACCCATTTCTTTTTTTAAGGAGTTTATATTATTTTTTGGGTAAATTACACTAATAATCACTTTTTCAGTATGTTTTATTTTAGCTAATCCTTTGCCGTATAATTTATGTATTGTATTGACTATTTATATAATTTTAGGAGATATATTCGATCAAGGGATATGACAAAATCATCCTTAAAACATGATTGATAGATTTGACTGATTTATTTTAGGATAAAATACATAAATGGTCCTTTGACTATAAGGTATTGCTTTATTAAGTTTCTCGACTATTGAAAGTAACAAAATAATCCTTCGCTAATAGAGAGTTGCTTTGTTGACTCCATCGACTATTAAAAGTTACAAAATTGTCACCGAACTATTCATTATGTTCCAAACTCGTCCTTTTTATTAAAAATTTGATTATTGTATGAGTTGTACGTTAACCTAGTGACTAAGATATGATAAAATCTGATCTCATAATCTTAAACAACCATCGTATTTCATTCAGCATGTTTCCAACTCAGGTGACCATTAATTTTTTATCTGAAAAAAAGACTAGTTTTGAACATAATGAATAGTCTATTGACCATTTTGTAATTTTTAATAATCAAATGACTCAAGAAAGTAGTATCCTATTGTTGAGTGACCATTTATATACTTTACCCTTTATTTTGATAAGTATAAAAGAGTCAAACGTATAAGGGTAAAAGATGAAATATAAGTGTTGTTTGTTGATTTTTATAAGATAACATTTTAAACAAAATAATTTAAAAAATACATATTCACTGAGATGGTGAGAGTATTAATTTTAAAAAATAATAATTTAATAATCCATGTTATCTTATAATTATATTTTGATCAATTAGATATTAATTTTTGCTGATGTAATGCGTTTGTCAAATTAGTTAAATTTTAAATAGAATTTTGTAATTTAGACGTAACACTAATTCAATCTTATATTACATATAAATTTTGATAAATTATATGTTACATATATTTTTTTCATATTTTTTCACTATAATATAAAATAATTTAGGGTAAATTTTAATTTTCAAGTGTACGGACAATATTATATTATTTATAATTTTTTTATTTCAAAATTTTACATAAGAATTAAAAATTTGGTGAAAATAATAGCAGCTTTGTGTTGGGCCAGCAAAAGAACAAAAGGAAGTACAATTAAAGAGAAAATGGTTGTTAAGCCCAAATTTAATTATTTATATTTTAAGAAGTTTTTTTTATTAATCTCGGGTAAGTACAATATATTTTTTGTTCAAAGGATTTTCAATCATTTGACATTAAACGCTCAAACTCCTGACTTTTTAGTTTTCGAAATCGAGACCTCAAAGAATAAATTAAAAAGATTGAATATTAAATAATGTTTTAAATTTAAATTATAAATATAAATAATATTCTACTACGCGTATAATACATAAACTATCAAAAAAAACCTTAATCTCTTTTCTTTTCAAATGCTCATATCTTAACCTTATCCAATATTTTTTAATAAAATAATAAAAAGTAAATTCAGTGTGATTATTGCTTGAAATCATTCTTAGTTCCTTAATTATTATGCTTGCACTTTAATGTATACTATTTATTAACTCATGATGTTACATGTCTACTTTATCTAGTGCTTCTCATCAATGTTAGGAAAAAATATTTTCAAATGTCACAAGTATAAGATAATTATAAAAATAATATTAATTTATATATTTTTTAATTATTGATAACGTAAGTCATATCATGCGATATAGTTGTCAAACTCAATATCTCGAAAGATATTAACACTTTCTTTAATCACTGAGATCACTTGATAGATTCAAAAATTTAAAATAAATTACGCATTTAATACCTAAATTATTAATTTTATTTTTTAAAATTATATTATCTTATAGGATTTTAGTGGATATGCATATTCATATTCCAATTTTAATATGAATCATGACATATTTACTTTCGGCTGGCCATGATGAATGTATCAAAAGATACAAATATTTCCACTTAATTATTTTTAGTCAAAAAGATAGGGTTGAAACTTGAGACTAATTATTTTTAATTTAGTTATGTTCAATTTGGAAGGAATTATATTTAAATAAGGTTTTTATAAATATTAATTCAAAAGTATTTTCAACATTTTATTATTATCTATATATATATTAATTTAAAAAGATGAGATAGTATGGTTTTGGGTAAATTTTGTTTGCAGCCCTATGCTTCTTTTAATTAATTGAATTTAGTCCTTATTACATAATAATCACACTTCTAACTATTTTAATTTATTTTCTTTTACAATTGAACCTTCTTTTATTTAACTAATTTTACCATAGCATGTTTATTAATTTGCGTATTTAATATCTTGGCATTATTTATTTACCTATTTATATATTTATTTTCTTGACTAAATTTATATATTTTATTTTATGTCACTTGTTTATTTACTTCTGCATGTATTATCATTATTTATTGTAATTACCATTACTATTACATTTTTTGTTCCAAATATCTATATTACATTTTGTTTTCTTAAAAATTCGAGACAATATGTATTTTAAAAGAGTAAACTTTGTATTTAGTAAATAAACTATCAATTTTGGTCTATTTTAATACTTAAACTTTCAATGTATTAAAATCATACCTAACATTTAGTACCCGTCGTTAAAAACTTAATGCGTTTAGTACATAAACTATCAGTTTTGGTTTGTTTTAGTATCTAAACTTTTAATTCTTTTAAAACTTAACGTTAAATTTTGAATGGGGTACTAAAACGAAATAAAAACTAAAACTTTTAACGGCAGTGTACTAAAATGAAACAAAAACTAAAATTTATGTATGATTTTGAAGGAAAAAAAATTAAGTACTAAAATAGATAAAAACTAATAGTTTATGTACTAAATACATACTTTATCCTTAATTTTTTTAAATATTTAATTAATTAAGAGATCTCTGTAGTTGAAAGGATGTTGATCTTTTTAGAGGTTTCAAGTTTGAGCTACGCTGCGTCTATAAGGTGTATAACTATATACATCATATGTTATCGATGGCTAATTTTTTTAAATAGATTCTACTTTATAATCATATATAGTTAATTGTATCATTCGCCCCTAATATATGATCCTAATTTTAAATTGGTTCCTAAATTTTTAAACATTTCAATTTCATCCTTAAACAATGACTATCATTCAAAATTAGTCCTCAAACTTTTGAACATTTCATTTTCATCCCCAAACTATGATCTTCATTCTAAATTAGTCCCTAAACTTTTTGAATATTTTAATTTTATCCTAAATTATACGTATACTAATCACATCTCTTGTTAATAAAATCATTAGGCCAAGTTATATTATTGTATGTTTGAAAAATTAAATTTAGGTTGAAATATGGTTGAAATGGATTACATATTTGGATAATTTGGGGATGAAATTGGAAGACCTAAAAGTTCAGGGATCAATTTAGAATGAGATTTATAGTTTGTGGATGAAATTGGAATATTCAAAAGTTTAAGGACTAATTTAGAATGAGAGTCAAAGTTTGAGGATGAATTGAAATGTTTAAAAGTCTAAGGACTAATTTAAAATGGGAGTCATAGTTTGGTGACATATGATGCAATTAATCTTAATTTATTGAAAAAAAATAATAAATAAATGAAAACAAGAGTCTCAAAATCAGATAACTCGTGAAAAATTAACTAACTTTTAATCATTATTTTTTTTAAAAGAATATTAAAAAAATACTACTTTTTGTTGAGATATGATTATAAATATATTATAAACCCTAAAGATTAAAGTCCCACCGAAAGCATTGATTTCGAAAACATTTTGATTTCACTTCCAACTTAGAAAAAAACACAAGTCTTTAGTCAAACAAAAACACCCTTCGGAAAAGGCATGCAACCGGAGAATTTCGAGCTCTACCGGTTCCTCGCTCAGAACGGCGTCGTCGGAGGGTTTCCGACCAGTTCGGGTTTTCCAGCCACCATGCAAAGCTTCTCTAGTTCCTCCACGTACTACCCATTGGAGATGTCCGGCGTTACGAGCGAAACGACGCCGCAGGATAAAGCTCTCGCCGCCTTGAAGAACCATAAGGAGGCTGAGAAAAGGCGAAGGGAGAGGATTAATTCTCATCTCAACAGGCTCAGAACTCTTCTTCCTTGTAATTCTAAGGTAATATATATATATATATATAGTATTTCATTTAAGTGATTTGAAGCTTTTAGAAAAATGGGTTTTGAATTTAGATTATGATTGGCTTAAGTCTTCTTTTGATGTGCATGGTTGAACGTTGATTTTCTTTTTTTTTTCTTTCTCTGTCTTGTTTCTGTAGTTTGTTGACTGTTTGTTTCTCGGGAAAAAATAACAGTAGGCGATGAATTTCTTTTGACCACGGCCCACGAATTGCTAAATGACATGACGTTTTCCTAACTCAATTATTTGTAGTCGTTTCGGTGTTTAAATCAGTCGAAAAATAACGAGAATCGAATTATCCGATAACCGAAAATAATTTAATCGATTCGATTATTCAAATTATCTATTTTAGTCACTTGTAAACCCTAATTCATCATTGTAACTTTCGACTCAAAGTGAATAGGCTTTTTGATTCAATTTTTTTTCTTCAGACAGACAAGGCTTCACTTCTAGCAAAGGTGGTCCAACGAGTGAAGGAACTAAAAGAACAAGCTCTCGAGACGACGGAGCTCGATAATTTACCGTCCGAGACCGACGAGATCACCGTGCTCTCGTCTGATTATTCCGACGACGGGAGGTTGATCTTCAAGGCCTCGTTTTGTTGCGAGGATCGATCCGATCTCCTTCCGGAACTAATCGACATCTTGAATTCCCTCCACTTGAAGACCCTTAAGGCCGAGATGGCGACGCTCGGGGGACGTATACGCAACGTCCTGATCGTCGCCGCTGACAAGGATTACAGCATCGAATCGGTCCAATTCTTGCAAAACGCGTTGAAGTCTTTGCTCGAGCGTTCGAATACGAGCAATAGGTCGAAAAGGAGACGAGTGTTGGACCATAAAATGATGTTGTAGTGGCCTTATATATTTGTCCATGGCCATTGTTTAAAAATCTCATCTTCAACCTTTTGCCCTTTTAGAGTGAGCTTATCTTTGTGTTTAGGGTTTTACATGCATCTTGATTGTACGGTGAGTTTAGGATTTATCTTTGTGTGTTGTGAAATTGTTATATAAATGGTAAATTTATGGTTTTAATTTCATTCTAGCTCTGTTTTTAGATAAACACAATATATTTAAGGTTTGGATTCACTTACACCCCGTAATTTTAGTTTTACATATTTTTAAAAAAGTTAACGAGTGAAAATAAATGATTAATAATATATATATATATATATAGACATCTTATTTCTTATTGTTAATTTTAAATGTCTATTTTTATTGATGCTGTGATCATGAAAGATGTAAAACTAAACAATTTTCTACAATGTACATATGTAGTCTTATATTGTAAGATGAGTAAAAATAGACGATTGAAATTATCCATTTGTTTTTTTCAGTGAATATGTTATCATTTTTTACTATTAATTTTAACTGATTATTTTTACTCATTAAACACACTTAAATTAGTAAAAAAATAATTTTATATTATACAATTGAATCTTACCTTTTATATAAATATAGGCATAATACCAAGATTAACCCCAATGTTTACGAAAATATTTATTTTGACCCCTATTTTTTTGAGTATTTTGTCCACAATGTTTCATTTTGGGACAAAACGATGAAAATTAAAAACCCTTTGTTAGCATCTTATTAACACTTCAAAATAGCGGTCTTTTTACTTGTGAATGAAACATTAAGGGCCAAAGTGCTTCAGAAAAAAGAGTAAGGGCCAAAATCATATTCTTTTAGATATTAGGGGTTTTTTTTGCCCTAAAATAAAATGTTGAGGGACTAAAATAATTATTTTGATAAACATTAGGGTAATTTTGATATCATGCCATAAAAATAAATATAAATATAGGAGACAGATGGATTTATGAGATTTAGACATGAGAATCTGCAGTTGAAAAGGGGTAGGAAGAATAAAATCCAATCATCTGAACTTATATTTATATGAAATTAATTGGTTGGTGTCGTTTTGTTTGTAAAAAGCAGTCGCTTGCGTGAGTTTCGATGGTTTGGGAAGATCACGTATTTTGTCTATTACGTATATGTTTATCACGTAGAGGGTAATGCTTCTTCCCTCACTCTCCATTTATTTTTCTAACACTGAATTTGGAAAGGGGAAAAAAACAATCTTTTATCGGCAACGAGGAGGAATTGTTCGAATCGATCGAACTCGAATCAAAAAATTTAAAATAAATTTATATTGGAAAGTTTATTGAAGTTAAGAGTTGTGTGACTCAAATTCTCTTTGATCGAATTCAAGATGATTAAAAATAAATTCACTTAAAATAAATATCAAAATGAAGATCTACGATGCCGATGAAGAAATTTAATTCGTATAATGATAAGTTTTTATTTATAGTTTCCTTTACAAATAAAAAACTTATCATTATAAAAAAAATATTAGGATTAGAATTTAATCGTGAATTGATTAAATCATAAATCACGTTTAGAATAAATATTATCGCACTTTTTTCTAATTTAATAAAGTTTCTTATTTTATTTGCACGAACTTGATTAAAAGAATAATTGTTATTTTTAAAGCTATCAGGTTCGAGTATCAGAGATTATCAAATATTTAAATGTACATTATCAAATAATTCGTGGTCTTTAGAACATATATTACCATTTTTAAGCGTCTTAGATTAATATTTTGTTTCTTATCTTTTTATGTTTTGTGGTTTAAAAAACAATTGCTCCATATTTTAATATGTTTACTTTTGTTGATTAGTTTTATATTTATATTTTTATTATTTTTATTATTATAAATAAAAATGTAATAGATGATCTAAGGTAATAACTTAATTTGAGTTTAAATAAAGGCATAATGTCAAAATTGATCCCCAATATTTATCAAAATAGTCATTTTGTACCTATTTTATTTTTTGGAATATTTTCAAGTAAAAGCACACCTAACATTTGACAGAATAATCATTTTGTCCATTAATCTTTTTCTAAGGTATTTTAGTCAGGGATGGGCGTGAGACCCAAACCCGACGGGTTCTGACCCGATTCGATCGGGTCATTTTTTTAATTATAAAAAACTAGGGTCAAGTTAAATTTTTTTGAGGTTATATTCGGGTCAATTTGGGTCAAATTCGAGTTTAGGGTGAAAAATATCTGACCTGATTTGAAAAAAATTGTAATTTTACCTTATATTCAGGGACAATTACAATAATGCCCCTCTATATATTATTTTTTTCAATTAAATTCCTATTTTTATTGAATAATAATAATAACATTTTTAATAAACATATTATTTCGGGTCAGATCGAGTTTTATCTCAAAAAATCGATTCGGGTGGAAGGTGCATATTTTTCGAGTAGGGTTCCTGTTGGGTGGAGGATTTATAATTTTCGGTTCGAGTCGGGTGTAGAAATGACCATCCAACTCAGTTGGTAGAGCACAAGGTTCTTAACCTTGAGGTCGTGGGATCGAGTCCCATGGAGGGCATTTCATAATTTGGAGGTCTTCTACGGAAGTTGCTCTCAACCTAGTGTTGGGGGCAGCCTACTATCTTACCTCCCTCTTATCTCATTACATACGGGAACAAGAGACAACCATTTGGTTCAAGTCGGGTGGACCAAAAATTTGACCCGACCTGACCCATGACCATCCCTAAGTTTAGCCCTCAATATTTCATTTTAGATTAAAACCCTATTTTGAAACGTTAATCGCGTGTTAATTAATGATTTTCATCTATAGATGAAACTTTTTGTCCTAAAGTAAAATGTTAGGGGGTAAAATCATACTTTAATAAATGTTGGAGGGTTATTTTTAGTAATATACTTTAAATAAAATGAAAAATGAAGAGGAGAGAAAGGCCTGAATAAAGGGAGGCTGACAAGAAGAAAGCAACAAATAATGGTGTGTGAGGAGAAGAGAAAAAACGACATTTTTGGTTCACAATTTCAAGGGAAGGAAGAAGAGGGGGGAGACAAAAGAAAAACAAAGTGAATAATGTCGGGAAGACGTGCAATCTCTGCTCGTCTTTGTCTCCCCCTGTCATCTCTCCCTTCTTATTTCCACCATGGAATCATTGCTTCCATCTCCCTACCTTTCTTTCTCAAAGTATGTGCCCTTTTCTTTTCTTTCCTTTCAATCTAAATTCTAGTCGATTTTGAATTTATTAAGTAATTTCAGTAATTAAATAGAATAATATTTATTTTTTAAATTTTAAATTTAAACAGTTATATTTATGGAGTATACGTTGTCGATGATTAAAAAAATTTATGAACAAGTAGTACCTCATGCATAATGACCATATGTGCAAACGTCATAATGCATTGAATTTTGAATAAAGATAGTTATGATCAAGGATGAGCACGTCTATCCGATTTGAACCCGACTTAAACCATAAACTCTAAATCTTAAATCTTAAATTTTAAACTCTAAATTTTAAATCCTAAACTTTAAACCTCTATCCGACTTGAACCCGACCTAACTTTTTGAGATAAAATCCGAACTCGACTCGATCATACTCAAAATAATAAAAAATATTATTTTTGTTTAATAAAAATAGAGATTTAATTGAAAATAACAATAATAATATATAGAGCAATATTATTGTAATTATCACTAAATATATAATGTAAAATTATATATTTTTTCTCGGTAACCCTAATCTCGAATCCAATCCAAATCCAATTTAAAAAAACCCGACCTGATTAGATCGGATCGAAACTAATTGGGTTCAGATCCCATGCCCATCCCTAGTTATGATTCTGGTTTAGTTGAGTTTTTTATAATTAGATTTGACTTGAAAAATATTTGTATTCATTTGAAATTTGATTTAATTCGAACTAAAGAAGGTTTCATTTGATTCGAAGCTTGAAAAATAAGGATCTAATTAAAAAATATAGAGATAAATATTATAATAACTATCTATAAATATACAGAGAAAAAATATATCATTAAAGATGAACATTTGACCTGAACTCGATGAATTATGACCCGATATTAAGTTATTTTTTTAAAATTCGGGTTCAGGTTGAGACAGGTCAAGTTTAGAGTGAAAAATACTTAACTCATATTGATCCAATTTTTAATTTATTGAACGATCATAGCGATTAAAGAGAACATTATTTTCATTTAAGATTTTAGGTTCGAACAGTTATATTTACAAAGTGTTTGTTGTTAATGATTGAAAAAACTTATGAAGATATACTACTTTGTGCAAAGAGACCATGTTTACAAATGTTAGGGTCTTTTGAACTTTGAATAAGGATAGTTATGATTCAGGTTGTGATGAGTTTTTCTTATCAACTCGATTTGACTTAAAAAATATATCTATTCATTTGAAATTTGATTTGATTCGAACTAAGGAAGGTTTCATTTGATTCAAATCTTGATATACTTTTTAAGTCGATAAAAATCTATATCCAATTCTATTCCATATAAATATATATTTTTATTTTATCCGGTGAAATAAGTATGTAATTGAAAAATATAGAGAGCTAGATATTATAGTAATTATCACTATATAAATTGAGGAAAAAAACATATCACCAAGGATTCGATCCTAAGTTAATTTTTTTTAATTCGGGCATAGATTGAATCATGATCGAGTTCAAAGTGAAAAATACTTGACTCGACTTGGTAACCCAGCACGTCTTGTGGATAAAGAAATCACAGTGTGGACAATAATAAAATGAGGATAGGAGAGGTAGCACACACCCATTGCAAAGTTTATTCTCTTTAAACTCATCCGAGAGTATTAAGTTGTGCTCATGACTAACATGTTCTATCTCTCCTGCTACCACATCATCCCTGACCTTGATTTCCTTGATAATACGAATAGGGCCGGTTTTGACTTTTTCTTGGCCCGGGGCAAAATTAAAAAAATTGGGCCTTAATTTAAAATAATATTAAAAAATATTCAATATAAAATTTTAATTAATTTTTTATTAAATTAAATAAATATTAATTCATTACAATATCAAAAATGTCAAAAACATATTTAAGCATATAAATACTTATAAAAAACATTGCCTTCGAACATTTCTTGATGCAAAATCATTGATGATAGTGTCAGCATCAATGTTT